GTTAATGATGTCGATAATGGTGAGGGGGTTGATGATCAAGATAAAGATGAGGATCCTTAAACCCTAAACCCTACATGAAGATGAGGATCAAAAAACTCTAAACCCTAAACCCTAAACCCTGAACAGGGTTTTTAGGGTTTAGGGTTTGGGGTTCAGGGTTTAGGGTTAGGGTCTAGGTTTTAGGTTTAGGGTTTAGGGTTCGGGGTTAGGGTTTCGGGTTTAGGGTTTAGCGTTTAGGGTCGTGCACTCCCAAGTGGCCTCACTGAATCCCGAGGCATCGGGCTGGAGGGCTCAAGTTCGATTTTGTCGATTACGCTGTCTCCTACTATAGGGGCCTAGAGAATTACCTAGACTATTTTGGGGGGTTCCTTAGCATAAGTATAGTATAATGGGCCCCAAGACCTTATTCAAATTAGCAAGGCCACTACATTATCTTTGCTTTGTGCAACTTACAGTCTACAGGCTTTGCCTGTTACATGCCATGTTCCCCTCTGTAAAGTCGAGGACCTCTGCGACTGGTGGGAGCATCGCCAGGACCCACAGGCCTTCCTTCTTCGGGCTCAGGGGTGAGATGGCGGGTTAAGGTTTTAGGTTTTAGGGTTTAGGGTTTAGGGTTTAGGGTTTAGGGTTTAGGGTTAGAAGAGGAGGGTTTAGGGCTCAGGAAGCATACCAACCCAGAGAGCCCCATGCCGGCTTAATTAAGGAAGATACCTTCATATATCAGGGGCCTAAAATTATGATTTAAGGTCTATTCCTTAATTAAGGGGTATTGGGCTCTCTGGGAAAGGCTGCCGAGAGTGTGATCCGGACGTTGCACATGGGCACTCAGGCTCTAGGGTTTGTGGGGCTTTGGGGGCCTAGGTCTGTTTCAACTTCAGGATGGCGGCTGATGGAAGGTTCTAACATCCAACACCTTAGACTGCACAACCCTGAAAACCTTAAATCCCAAGCATAGGCCCTAAACCCCGATCTCTACACCTTGTGCCGCAAACCCTGAGCCGTCAGCCCTAAAACCGAGCCCTGGCCCTAAGCCCAAGACTCAAGTCATATCTGAACCCCAAGCCCATTCCAGGTGTGCCTCCTTTTCTTCGACGATCTGCTGGAAGATCGCCTCGAATGTGCCACTTGACGCTCAGAAAACCTTTTTCTTCAGAAAGAACCCGAAACCCTAAACCCTAAACCAAGGTCGAACCCTAAACCCTAAACCCACACCCTAAACCGTGGTCGACGGGGCTTTAGAGGGTTTATGTGGCTTTCACTGCAGACTTCCGACCAGCAAATGTGGGGGCTCTTGATCTACCCATGGTCCCCAAAATCCCAAGCCCCCAACACCAACTCAGGGTCTAGGATTAAGGGTTTTGGAGGCTAGGGGTCTTGGGTTTACGGGCCAGGGTTTAGGGTTTGGGGTTGAGGCCGGCGCGCTTCAGGATCCCGGGCTTTTTGGGCACAGGTCCGTCGCCTCCAGCGCTTCTTGGATCTTGAGGAGGACCGGATCCCAGACAACTTTGGGCGCTTGGGTTTAGGGGTTTAGGGGTTTAGGGTTTAGGGTTTAGGGTTCATACAGTGTCACAAGAAAGAAGAATGGCATCCCCTTCCAGTGCTCCCAAAGCAGTGTATTCAACATACCATAAAAAAGGTACCGCAAGACCTCCTTCTAACTAGTTGCTGTGGGTTTCTTCGGCCCGCTTTCCACAGAGATTTCGTGCAGACCCTACCTGCCCTACCTTGACCTACCAAAACCCACTTTTTTGTAGCTTCTCATTATAAACCCTAGTATGGGAATTGTAGGGGCCCCTTAAAAAAGTAGGTTCTGGTGGGTTAAGGTACCCGAAACCCTAAACCCTAAACCCTAAACCCTAAACCAAACCCTAAACCGTTTGGTGGCAGCTACAGTAGGTTAGCGGTTTCAGGATCCCGGGCTGGCATCGATTGTCGCGGCGCAAAGCAGCCACGAGTTCATGTCCAGGCGCACCTGTTCAGAGACTTGCTCGGGGCTTCGGCTCTACCTTAAGAACCCAAAACCTACTTTTTTGTAGGGTCCCTATAAATCTCATTTTAGGGTTTATAATAATAACCTACAAACAAGTGGGTTTTGGGTTCTTAAGGTAGAGTTTAAGAGTTTTCGGGTTTAGGGTTTAGTGGTCTAGGGTTAAGAGTTTCGGGACTTAGGGTTTAAGGGTTAGGGATTTAGGATTTAGGGCTTAGGGTTTTGGAGACGGCATTGGGTTTCGGGCTTATCCCGTCTATAGTTGAAGACTTTGTGGTACCTTAGCCGGACAGCATACGGTTCAGGTCCTACGTCCTGGTACTCGTGTATCTATGTATCTGTGTATCTATTTACTTATGCGCTCATGTGTTTATCATTTCATGTATTTAGAGGCTTCCTCGTGTCCTCATATTTGTCGGTCTGCATGTCATCTCTGCATGTATTTTGCTTATGTGTCTTGTTATTTATCTATGTGTTTTTCATGCAGCTGGCACTGGCTAGGCCGGAGAATCATTCCAAGTTCGACGATCACAAGATCGCAGCTCGGCTTGGACGGGTTGGCGAACAACTCTCTGCAGAAAAGCGCCCTGCAACTGCAGCAAAAAAAGATGCGCCCCGCACCCGCAGCAAAAAACAACACCCACAACACACAGGCACACACAAACACTCTAACCGAGTCCAAGGTTGAGACTTTTAAGGTCAGGTTTAGCTTTAAAGTTGTCAGTTTTGTTTAACAAGTCTCTAGAGGCTCTCAGAACACTGCCTCCTTGACTTTCAAAGCAAAAGCACAACAACTCGCTGCCCCTAACATGAAGCTCAAAGATCCTTACGCTTTAGGGTTTAGGGTTTAGGGTTTAGGGTTTAGGGTTTAGGGTTTAGGGTTTAGGGTTTAGGGTTTAGGGTTTAGGGTTTAGGGAGGCCCAGACTTCTAGAAGGAACGAAGCTGTCCACACGTGTGATGAGGTGAACCCCGGCAGCAGGTTGTTCAGGATGCTAGTTTCGGGTTTCACAGGGCTTCGCGGCACCCTATCTGCCAGCCGCAAACACTTAATGTAGGGGCCTAAATACTTACCAATACTATTTTTGGGTCTCCTTATTATAATTTTCGTATAATGGGCCCCAAAACCCAACTCGAATTATTAAGGTCCCTATACTACTGCTTTCATGACAAGCTTTGAGCCAGATGGCTATTGCCCGCTGGTCGGAAGCACCTCAAACCCAGCGCTAGGTCCAGGAGATCGATCGCCTCAGAGGCGGGGCACGCTTCTTCCAGTTGTTGGAGGTTGATATCGAGGCTTTCATACTTCAATACATCATTCCCCTACAGTCCCGTATAGACTTGTAGTACAACACCCCCCCCACCCACCCCCCCCACAGCCCTATTCTAATTGGTAAGCTGGTGAAGACCCTAAACCGTAGACCCTAAACCCTAGGCGCTAGAATCTAGGCCCTAAGCCCAGAACCCTCAACCTCGAACCCTAAACCCTAAACCCTCAACCCTAAACCCTAAACCCTAAACCCCAAAAGGCCTCTGTGGGATTCCGGGTTTAGGGTTTAGGGGTTTAGGGGTTAGGGTTTAGGGGTTTAGGGTGTT